ATGCAGACTACACAGTAGTAGCGCAATACTAGCACTGTAATCAGAGACCCGCAGAAACAAAAATCCGTTTGCCAGGAGTTCCACTTTGATGTGTTTTACTGTAAGTTTCAATGGATGTTTAGCAAGTACCAGTTACCTGACAGTAATGATGGGCTGTTGTTTTATTTTAGCTATCTCTATCCTGATGGAAGAAGTTATAATCCTGATTTGACGGGTCTGTGTGAACCAACACCACATGATCACATAAAGGTTACCCAGGTAGCTCTTTTTTTACCTTTGCTTTTGATACATAATTCTTAAAAAGAAACAGAGCATTTAGATGCAATATGGAAAATGAGTTTAACTGTATGGCTATCTCAAAAAATATGTGAAATCTATAGTGAACCTGTGCATTGCCCATTGACTAATTATACCCCCTCCTCTGCTTTAATGCATTTTCCATTCAGCCAACTGGGCTGAAGAGGAAGACCTGCTAGTTCCAGGTGTAAGGAGAATGCAAATCTCTTGCTTCCATTCTCTTCTTTCACTTAGACTGGATGCCGGAGAAGCGCAATGAGAAGAGAGGCCCTAGCTCTGTGCAAACTCCAGCCAGATTTACTTGGAGCATAGACAGGGCTTCTCCTCAATCCTATAGATGAACAGAAGTGGTGAGTGGTGGATTGCTTTTCAGTGTACCTGTTGCTTTGTCCTCCATGGGACCACTGTATGCATTTCACAGCTCAAAATGAACATGTTCCAATTTTTGGTCCCTTCAACTGAGCATGTAATGAAAAAGATATGTAAGGTCAACTTCAATAGAAACTGCCTAATAAAACAATTTGTAGATGCAGAGATATAGACAACTGAAGTTTTATTCAGATCTAGACTTTTCCTGTGAAACCCTTCCCACTTCCCAAGCCTTTCTGTTGGTCAGTGAAGCTACCCATCACATTGAGGTTTGTAAAGGGGTATTGGATGGGGCGTTGATCAAGATTTTCACATAAATTAAGCCTCCTGTATCTTAGGGCTGCTGATTATTTTGATGAGCATTTTTAAAAAAATGTTTAGCTTAAAATGATTGTGACACGTTTACTTTCATTTCAAACTTTGATTGGAGTGTACTTTTTTAAGCATTCTGCAAGATTATCCAGGGTCATGTGAACATAAATCTTAAAAGATAGCTTGTTTCTGCCTAATCAGAATTGTGATTGGCTTCTGCCATAACACCAAGTTATACTGGGTATGTGGTCAGTGGTGTATTTAGGTTTTGTGCTGCCCTAGGCAACCCTACACTCGGGCGCCCCCCCCCACTCGCTCTACATGCTGACAGCCCCGGAGCCTCCTGTCTTGCCGTTCTGCTCTCTAACCCAGATCGCCCGTTATTGTGCCCTGGGGCAGCCGGGCTGTATCTCACGCAGCCCCGGTCCCGCCTGTGCCCCTTCTCCGCCCCTCCTCCAGCCTCCTCCTCCTCCACCCGGAGCTCTCTGAGGTAAATTAGGCGGCCGCAAGCCCAAAGACCGGCCACCTAATTTGCATGATTAGGTAGCCTGGCTCGCTGCAGCGATTTGGGGGCGGCATCTAGCCGCCCACCCGCAAAGTGCCGCCCAAGGCAAACGCCTTGTTTGCCTTGCGGTGGATACGCCCCTGTATGTGGTATGGAGGTGGCATATGGGTATGTGTAAAACAGGAATTGCATATGCTTCACTCCAAACTATTGTTCAAAAGCTTAAAAAAATGGACCAAACACTGGATTGTATTTTACAGACCATATAATATTGGATAGTTGTTGTGTCTCCACAACAGAACCATCTTATCAGTTCTTGTGATTTAGCTTTGGAAAAGCTGTTTATTATTTTTATAAGCTCTGTGCTTCAGGAAACCATAAACTTGTAGCATATTTCAGTGTTCTGTAGCCAACTAAACTATAGTTTTTTTTTGTTTTGTTTGGGAGGTAGTGGTTGACGCATTGTATTAATGTAAGGCAAAGTACACTGTTATATTATTTTTTTTTCTCTCTTCCTTTCAGGAACAATATGAATTGTACTGTGAGATGGGCTCTACTTTTCAGCTGTGTAAAATCTGTGCAGAAAATGACAAGGATGTCAAGATAGAGCCTTGTGGCCATTTGATGTGTACCTTCTGTCTAACATCTTGGCAGGTACTGTGAGAAGCATATGCAAGGATTTAGATGTTGGTAACTCTTGTTAGCAGTGAATCTAAAACAGTTTATCCACCTTTTAACTATGCTCGGCAACCTCAACTGACACTGTCCATAACTTGTAGTATGCTTTCTTTTTCTAACAGCTGTGTAATTCCTTTTATTCTACATACTTGAAATTTCACCCTCGTAGGTGGATAACATTTCTGAGCGTTCTTTAGATAGGGAGCAGCCAATTAAGTAGCTTTATACACATAAACCCAATTTTCTTGGCCCAGCAAGGCTTCCCTCTTATGCACTAGTAGCTCCTGGTTGGCTGTAAATTAAAATTTGTGTGATCGCGTTTGATAAAGCCGTAAAATCCTCCTGCGTAAAATGAATGCTAATATTTCCTATAAAAGGTGTGTCTAATCGTGTCTATATACTGCACTTAATTTTTTTTTGTTAATGGTAGATCTATATGGCATGTCTGCTTTAAAATCTATTTATTCATTTTTTTTTTTAAACTGGCACGCAAAATAGAAAGGTTTAAATATAGTATATTCATGATATGCCTTTTGAATTCACAGATGCAAATTCAGCACTAAACCGTGGTTTAGCACAAACTGGTTTAGCAGAACTCTGGGCAAAATGGTTCTTAACCCTTGTGTTGGGGCGACCCCCACACTGCAAGGGTTAAGTGCTCATTTGTGTTCACGTTATACTCACCGGATCCTCGAAGCCGGCTTGTATAGGATGTGAGAATGCTGAGGGACATACCATCGCTGCAGTGGAGGAGGAGACAGGCTTCAGGGACCAGAGTAGCTGCCATCCAGCTCCACGGTTTGGGAGAGTATAACACAAATGAGCACTTAACCCTTGCACTGCAGGGTAGCCTCATTGCAAGGGCTAAGATAAATTCTGCCTGGAGTTCTGCTTCAAAGATGTCCATGAATAGCTTGATAAAATACATGAATCTCCTGGTTTTTGATTATTGTGATTATCAGATGAATTCTAATAAAAGGTGGGGTGCTCGTTCTCTCGGAGAGGTTTTCCAACCTGCTGGGCTTTCTTTCTATAAGCAGGACCAATATTTTCCTCTTCTTTGGAACAGGATTCCAAAAGTAGAGGAAAGAATTGGACCTGGTATGCACAAAGTATTGCGTAACAGTCCGTGTCACCACTGGGTGGGAATTGTAGTGGGGCCCGAAACTAACTTGCTAGATGGTGGCTAGATATCTCCCTGCCTGTCTTCTCCAGAAGATAGCTGTCAATCCATCACCAGCCTAGATGTACTAAATTGTGGAATCCAATATTTTTAGCTAAATAAAACTATCGGGGTTATTCACAAAAGGGTGAAGAGTTTGGAGAAGGCAGGAGAAGTGAACAATCTAGGACAGGGGTCAGCAACCTTAAACACTCAAAGAGCCATATGGACCCGTTTCCCACAGAAAAGAAAACACCGGGAGCCACAAAACCCTTTTGACATCTAAAATGAAGATAACACGGCATATATATCGTTTTTTACCTTTTATGCTATGTATAGCATGTATATAGGTATATGTGGGCTTAGTAACGCACTGGACTCTGGGCTTAGTAACGCACTGAACTCTGGACTTACCTGAGACCCCGCAGAACCCACCCGAGAGTGACCCTGCAGAACACACCATAGATCCTGCACAGCCCATCTGAGACTCTCTATAGTGGGCTCTGCAGGGCCTCGGGTCGGCTGGTCGCAGGGTCCCTTTCCCTGCGCCTCCACCCAACTCATTACCTGCTGGGGCCTGACCTCCTCCACCCCCTCCTGTCACCTCTGCCATGCCGCCCCTGGTACTGCAGATACTCATTTAAGAGGCCCCCCTTCTATCTGACCTTTGTGACTGCGATCTCGCATTCCGCCCCACTCACAAAGTCGGATAGAAGTGACATTTCAGGACCGATCAGCTGTTCCAGGGCAGATCCGTTCTCCTGCACATACGATTTGCGATGCAGATCTCCCCCGGAACAGCTGAAAAAGCGTTGGAATGCTTGACCTATTGGCGGTCACACATTCCACCGCCAAAAAACTGGGCGTGATTAAATTGAAATGTGTGACCACCTCCCTGGTCACACATTTCAACCTAGTCACAAACTTTGATAGAACAGCAGCCCTGTCCAATCATTTAATCAGAGAAATAGATTATAATAGGCAACATTCCCCATTATAATCCACTTTTCTAATTAAATGAAATAACAGCACACAGTGTGCAGTTAC